CCCCCCAAAAAAAAAAAAGAACTCTAATAAATAAAAAAGAAGGAGAAGAAAACCGTTGAAATTCTGCCATCTTAAATTGAGCGTCCAAGCTTCAGACACACCCTGGCCTCACTAACTGCTGCCGATTGTTACCACCATATGCATCATAAACAACCTTAGTCTGCATCAGACGACTATTCCTCTTGAATCTTGAAATTAAATTTATGCATAAAATGAAAAACCTATACCAAAGGAAAACAATGGACAACAATTACTACGATCATGGAAGTTAGCATCTATCTGAAACACCAATTGCACCATTAATTTCGAAGACTCGTTATGTCTAATTCAAAACAATTTTTGCTGTTTCAAGTCAATTGTGTCCTATGCTTTGTTGTTGCTCAGGTAAAATCTACTAACTCATCAACCACCCGATTTCATTCGGGCACCTAGGTGCAATTGCTTTTTAGTAATTTAAGATGTATCTGGATGACTGAAAATGTAAGATCATAGTGTTTATGTAACGGTACTTCAATGTAAGTCCCATGATTCTTAATTTACTAGTGTTGGGGAACTAGAAGTAACAGATAAAATTAGAATAAATATTGAAAAACAAACACGCAAACTATTGGGTTGATGCACGGGCATTCAGAGTAATCTTTATTTACCACGGGTGCAGCATGTATTCACTAACTTGACAACTCTACATTGAAAGGTTGGCCTCAAATCTCCACAACAATTACTACCCCTCTTTTGGCCAATTGCTCTTAAAAAGCAAAGGAGAGAAATATGAGAAAGGAGAGTGAATAAAATATTAAAGTTACTTGTGTTGAAAGTGTTTGAGAGAGAGGTAAATATAGCTTTCTAGATCTAGTGAATTTATGACACAAGTTTTAACACCTCAATTAATAAAAATATATACTTTTTACTCTTGCTTTGATAAAAGAGAAACACCCCAAACTTACTATCTCATTTAAAAGTTAAAACCTCTATAATAATTATTAATAAATATTAAAATGTAATAACACAGTGTTAAGGAAAACCATTAGCTATTACTATTAATGTTGTTAAGTTTCTGTTATTGTTGTTAGAACTTCTTGTTCAGTTGTACTTGGTTATTATTTGTTGCTTTGGCAGATTGATTAGTTGTTCTTGTTGTAAGTTACTGGTTGTTCCTTTAACAACCTGAACTAATCTTTGTTCTACTCGGTAGTTGGCCTGTATATCCACTGCCATTGACCTTTATTCAATAAGGAAGATTCTGCTAGATTACGTTTCTGAAGATCTTTCTCTGAAGTTTTTTCCTCAAGAAATGAGCATTTAGGAATGAAAGATTAATGTGTATGTTCTGCAGTATTTGTCTTTTCCAAACTGTATTATGTTAACCAATGTTTATATCCCTTTGAGCAGCTACCATTAGAAACCCTTGCTCTTTTAGGATCATAACCATTTTATGGGTCTTACAAAAAATGCATGAAGGTTACATCCACCCATCATAAGCTTAGAGTAAGGATTTTAATGAGAAGGAACAAGAGCTCTCTTGACCCTATGAAAATAGGCACTAATTTGGAAACTTCAAGCCAACCATCTTCTCATCCATTGCCCATCCTGAGGAGTGAAGGCGGCTGGATAACATTTCTGAACTAAACAATATTTAATGAAGAATTTCTAGAATTGCCAACCTGTTCCTTGTCATGCTATCATCACCTAGAGCTCAATGCTACACTTATGGGCTTCTATAAAAAATTTCATCCCAGCAAAAGCCAAGTCACCTCATCTTTATTCTTCCAGCTTGAAAGTCAGCCTTGATCAGTCTTGTATAAGAGGGCTCAAGTTTTTAGATTAAAGAGTGCTCTCTATTTGAAATTGAGAACGTCTTCCGTTATTCAAATTTGTAGCTTGGCATCTGGGGTTAGGTTATCATCCCATAACACCAAATTGATAGCATCATGATCGCCTACATTTCTTGTGGTATAAGTTCTAATATTTAGGCATTCAAAACCTACGGATGTTGGCGAGAAAAACTAATCACTTCAGGCTAAGGTTTCAGTTCTGGGTTTTTAATTATGTAAACACCAACTTTCATTGAGTGAATCGGTTATAGTTTCAATTGAGTGATCGGTCTGAAATCTCAATTCTGCAAATTCAACTTTCCTACTTTTTATTTTTATTTTTTTATCAACGTCTCAATTCACCACATCAATGCTCTCCTTGCTCTCCAAAATTAATCCTCTGTTTAATGGATGATTTAGTTTTGATTAAGCATTTGCAGTGTTGCACACTAACCTTTCTTCTCTTGCCCTTCTTACTTGCCATGTATACGCCAATAGGCACTATTACTGTTACTGAACCAGGGATTGTGTAATATTTTCCTAAACACAAACTTGCAAGGACCTAGCATATTTTTCAACTACAAAATTAACATTAAAGCCACGAGGATGCAATTTTTTTTTTTTTTTTTTAACACAGTTAAAGGCTGTTAGCATGTACATTGTACAATATTTTGTGCACGTTAGAATTCATACTTTCGTTCTTCTTGCACCATTGTTGATTTCTTTTGTGCACATTTTTTTATTCTTGTGCAGAGCCAATGCTAACTATGGGTAGCATAAATCCTGTCATGTGGGATGATAACTGGACTGTCGTAACAGAAGACGGAAGTCTGTCAGCACAATTTGAACATACCATCTTAATAACCGATGATGGAGCTGAGATATTAACGCAGTGTTAAACAACGGTGGATCTCATGGCAAGACTTTGATATTCCAAATACAAGTATTTTTCTTATCCTGAAGCTCATATTCATTTATCACCGCCAAATGTATGTATCAAAAAACATGGAAGTCATTTCTTGAGACAAACAGCTCTTGAATAATGTATTAAAAGTTTTTAAGCTTCAATTTAGTACTTCCTTCTTACAAGGATTTCCCTGATCTGGTATATATAATGATGATGGTTCTGTTGGAGAATTAAAGGAAGCTGATACGAGCATTAGAAGGGAAAAAAATTGGAGAAAAAATTCTCTCGAGTACTATTCCTCTTTGCTAAATTGGAACCGATGCTTGCAAGGAGAGAGAAAACCTCGGAAAGTTTCATCTAAGAAAGGCTTTAGAGAGTTGAACATCCCAAAGAACTTCGAAAATACCACAAAAAAAAATCATTGTAAATTACAAAAATCATAAGATCTTAGGCAGGTTGTATGGTTTTTGATGTGATGTCGCTGTCAATCGTATATGGGTGTCTTGTCTTTATTTTAAAATATAAGGCGGGAGTATTTTAAGAAGGGTACTGACTTGGCAAGTGTGTCAATGGTTATCCCTATCACCGTACATTCTTGTAAACCAATTGAGCTAAGGCTATATGCATTGTTTTTCTTAATTAATCGTAGTTTAAAATACTAATTATCACTTAAAGTCAATCTAAAAACCTCCGACCTGCCAGATTCAAACCAACGACCTAAGGATAAGCTGATGGAATGTCCACTACAGTCCTCCGCTCTACCAACTGAGCTAAGGTTGGATTTGTTTCCATATTTTTCAATATTCTACTGTCCCACTTTCTTACTTAAAAGAAAAAAAAAAAAAAAAAATTAAATATAGTAAATGGAAAAATCTGCAGATCTACCTTGAAATTGTGTGAGAGAGTGTGTGTGTGTTGTTGTTATTTTTTAAATGATACCAACAATCGTGGCTTAGCTGTGTACATTAATATTGTAAAAGTTTGCATTGAAACCCTCGCATTCAGCCTCACCTTAATCAAATATTTATTTCTCTTTTGACTTCCGCTGTTTAAGGATACAATTTTATGAAATTGCCATGCTTTAATATTTGATTCCAAAGGACTCTACTCAACAATCCTTTCAAACGCTACGTCTTTCTTAACATTAATCAACTCCACAACTTAACACTTAGCTACAATTTATTTATTAAAAAAAAAAACTAAGCTTCTCCCTTTCTCTAGAGCTCAATCTCCACGTCTTTGCAACTCGATCCTCCTTCGTTTTGTACCTGAAAATATCAATCAACATTGTTGGATGAAAGTCTTACATTGGCTAATTTAGGGAAGAGTTTATGCTTAAAGGTGACAATATCATCTTAATAAGTGTTTTCTTTACCTGGGAGGAGTTTGCGGTGGTACTAGGTGAGGGAGACCAACCCAACGACCTTTTGCCACCGGACGCTTTCTTGGAGGCATTCTGGGACTTTTTCAAGCCTAGAAACCCCTTCCAGCTGCCCCTCGAAGGGCGCTGGGAAACATCGTTCTCCTCCTCATCTTCCTCTTCCTCTTCCTCGACCAGAAGTTCATCTCTAAGAGTAGTGGCAGCCCTGTGGGAGTCCTTGAAGGGGAGAAGGCGTCCCTCGAAGAAGAGTTCGTCGGCTGTCATCATGGAGTAGTTGGAGACGGAGAATTCGAAATCAGAGGAGGAGACGGGGCCCGGGGCAGCACAGGAGCGTTGCTCTTGGCGTTTGAGGGACTGCTGGATGTCCACGAAGTCGCTTGAGAAGGAGATTCGAGGGCTGGCCGGAGCACGGTGGTGGAGGGACTTATGGTCGGAGTTGTACATGTCTAAGCATGCCATTACAGCTGTGAAACCAACATTGGGGAGAAGGAACAAAAATATTCACTATTATCTCTATCACCAAACAATGTTAACTTTCCACAAACCTACCTATTTATACCTCTTTATCTTTGCTTTGACGGCTGTGCCCTTTTTTTCTTCTCTCTCTATAAAATATATACTATATTAGTTTCTCACATTTTATGATTATGTTATGTTACGGGGCCATGTTGTGATATTGATATTGTATCATGCTTGAACCTCCCTATCATACCGTGAAAACTATATTAACATATTCATTCTTAGCCCATGAGACATTGATAAGCCATGCATATTAACTACGAAAGATATGACAAGTACTACGTATGTCTGTTTCATAGGGATGCTATGTCATGAAAATAATGGAGTTATGAGTTGAATTTAAACATATACCATAATTTAAAGCTATGGGGACCTTATGCATTTTGTATGTCACATAGACTAGGATACTTTTATGTATGATCAGTACGAACGAATACGTTACAATATCTATGTACGCCATGATATTATGTGGGCTCCTTTCCCTTCATGACACTAGCAGCGTGAGTGTGCGCTAGTTGAAAGGCATGTCTATGGGTACATATATATATGCCCTGGCGGGTTGATGCATGTGTGTGTATGCATAAAGAAGTACCACACATCCAAATTTTGTCTAGACTAGAAAGTAGAGTTTTAAGACCATGATATTTATATGATATTTATATAAAAAGATAGGTTCGCCATAATTTCATGTGATTACATTTGCTGACTCCAACAATGGAGTTACTTATTGATTATTTTTTTAAATACTCAAGCCACATGTTCGTCCTTGTCAAGTAAAAAACACCGTTGTACAGATGACAACGTCAATGTGTAGGCCAAAAGAATAAATTCAAGAGGTTGACCTAACTTTGAAATTATTTTTATTATTTCGTTTTCTACCTACATTAGACATGCACGCATGCATATAGTAACGACTTTATTTTAGTAGTAAAATTATGGTCGTTAAAGTGCGAATGTGAGGATGGAGATTTGAACTTTCACTATTGGAGACCATTATTGATGCTTTAATAATTGAGTTTGCTCGATGACAAGAATAATTATTAGGGGGTTTCCAGCTATTCTCTTGTCATGATGTTGTCAAAGTAGGACAAGGAACAACATAGAGTCGACATATATAAAGGTCATTCCCTCTCATGTCAAATTCACATTGTGAGACTATCAAGACTAGACCGACTACTTAAGAAATATACCACGATGTATGATAGCATATTAAAGTTGTAAATAATGACAGCATACATTTAAGACTAGAAACACAGCTATCTACGGATGTTTTTGTAATTTTTAAGGTTTCTTTAATTTCTTTAATTTCTTTTGAGAAATTTGGTCGTTGGTTTAGTTTAACACTTTTCCGAATTTATTAGTTGGTTTATAAGTAATTAATAAATTTTAAACACAGATTAAAACATATAATTAAATATCAGTGGGATTAAAAGCTTTAAATTAAAACCAACCAGTATGGTAGAGATTTTATTAACATTCTTTATTCAATAAAATAATAATAAACTCTTTTTTTTTTTTTTTCTCGATGTTGAGAAATATCTTTCATTACTTAATCCAAAGTTAACAGTATTTTGACTAAAGAAGACTCCAAGAAGCTTCCTTTTACCTTAAAAAATTGGGAAATCTTTAAATAATTTTTGGAAAAATATTGATTTGCCAGCTGGAATAACATATAGTATATACATAGATTTTGGTAAAATATTATAATACAATAAGTCAAACATAAAGATTCGAATCCTATATTTGTCACTTAATTAATAATCATATTTGATTCTTTTACAACTCATTCTCTCATGCTCAAGCTTTAGGGTAACACCATATTTATTTCATAATATTAAAAAAAAAAAAAAAAAAAAAAAAAAAAAAAAAAAAAAAAAAAAA